CTTCATACCCGCCGCCTCATCATTGCCATACCCTCCACCATGCGCCACCGCCACCTCGCTCGATCCACATTTTTCAAACTCCACAAGACCTCCAAGTTTCAGGTATATTTGCCGAGGCAGAGCAAGAACCGAAGTGTTATTACAACCAATCTTGTACTTTGGAAAAGAAACGACAAACGAAGGGCTGCAGTTATAGAGCAGAAAGAATTGATCTTGGTTGGGAGCCAGCTTAAACTGGTCATTAGGGAGGGTTAAATTATGGATCAGTGAGAGATTAGTGCAAGCAGAGTTGTTCAAGTAGTGTGAAAGCAGAGCATTTGAGACGACAAGAGTCTGGCTTTCGTAACTGATGTTGTGAATTATGTAATCGTTACCGGACAACCGGAGAAGTGGGTAGGCTTCTTCTTCGTCATTGCCTGCGCCGCCGTGGCAGGAGAGCTGGAAGCCAGGGTAGCCGCAGAAGTCTTGTTGCCTGCCTTGGATGTAGAACGGAAAGCTGATGATTTGGCGGCCACAAATTGCGGGGACGCTGCAGTTTTGGTAGTAAAAGTCCAATGCAAATGCAGGGGTTTCTGATGAGAGAAGGAAGATCAGAATGAAGATGCAAAGGTTTTGATTCATTGTAAATTTGAGGGAGGGAGAGAGAGAGAGAGAAGAGCGAATTACAGTATAGTCATAATGTTGAGATATTTGAAGGTGATTTAGGTTGACTTGATGCAACCACCCCATTGAGGTCTTCGGCTCATACAACGTATCTGGGATCCACGGCGAAGACCAAAAATTTCGTACTTTTCATTTCTTGGGCAATAATGCGGCTACAAAATGTCGTGATTTTACATACTTGGAAAGACGGGGCAAAGACCAAAAATTGCATACTTTTCATTCCTTGGCCAATAATGCGGCTACAAAATGTCGTGATTTCAGATGCTAGGAAAGACGGGCTTGTTTAGTATATAAGATTGGATTGTAATGGATAATTTTAAAACATCAAGCATACTGAAAGTATAAGTGAATTTGTTTTTTTACATAGAACGGAATAGAAAATTATTAGACATGAAATAAACTCATCCCTCCTAATCATTCCATTTTGAAGATGATTGCGTTGTGTAAGTTTTCTTCATGGGTGATCCGTCTTCAAACCCAAGTTAAACATTTTTTTATTATTTCTCCCTTAATAATACCTTGAAATTAGAGAATTGTCAATTTCAATCTTATCCTACATACCAAACTGGACTTCAATATTAAATTTAAGTAATCAAAATGATGAATTTTGGAGTGATTCCAATTGGATGATGTTCGTGAGTCTTTCAAGATGATTGGATCAAAATTCCAAATTTTTCTATCAAACCATTTGACCGTGGCGAATAAAAGAAGGCTCATCTTGACGTTTTTGAACGTTTTGGGTATTTTGGAGGTCAAGATGACATATTCTGAGGAAGATTCATTAAGAGGATTTATAGTAGACGTCAAATTCTAAACATCAAATTTCAATTTGATGGCTAACTTGGCAATTTGACATATTGTCAAAATTTTCCTTCCACCCAATATGCCAAAATTTATTTGCTTCATTTATTTTTTTTTTAAAACAAAATTAATAAAAGTTGGGTTGTTGTTGGTTTAAAAATAATAAAATAATACTTAAATATGCTGACATTTAAGAGCATCTCCGAAGAAGATGCCAAAATATACACATCTGCTATAACAGTAAAAAAAGACCACATTAATATAGCCAAATCCTATGTGGCGATAACATGAATTGGCAGCAAAAGATGTTCAAATGTTGAGTTGACTGATGCAATTAATTATTAAATGTTTTTTTAATAATTTTTAATTAGTTTAATAATTTATTATAATTAATGTTGAGTTGACTACACAGCTTCAAATGTTTTTTAATTAATTATTAAATGTATTTTATTAATTTTTAATTAGTTTAATCATTTGTTATAATTAATGTTGAGTTTACTAGTGCAATTATCCTACTTTTTTCTTCTTTCAATCAAGGAAGGTGAACAGATTACTGATTAAACTTTAAATGTCATTTATTAAATTTTAATTAATTTAATAATTTATTTTATAAAATAATAATTTAATTTGACATATCGGTTGGATAACAAAACTTTAAAAGATATCAAAATGCCACATAAGCTATCAAAATTTGACATCTCCTTTGGAGATTGTCTAAGGTTAGGCATGTGGAATGACTTTGGAAATAACAAAAATCAAATTTGAAGGCTTCAAATTTGACATATTTTTGTCCATGTCAGTTTAGCATTTTTTTTCCATGTTATCATTGACATCTCAATTAGAGTAAATGATATGTCATTTCTTACTGTTATATGTCTATGTGGCATTTTGACATCTCCTTTGATGATCGTCTTAAGCTTTCAAAATAGAAATTTTGGGACCAAATCTGAAATGAGATTTGGTCGGTCAAAAGTCTTTTTTTTCTAAGAAGTCCGAATTTGACTTTAAATATGAAGCCTTTTACTAGCTAGTTTATTTTTTTATTTTGTTTCCCAAAGACCTTTCCTAGGAAGAATTTTATTTTGTATTAGTAAATAAGACTATTTAACCATTAGGGTTCTCTAAGCACTATTTTGGGATCAATTTGGAGAATTGTGCTAAACTTTGAGGATTTGTACTCTTCTTTCAAGGCGTTTTTTATTCATGTTTTTAATAATATTTTGTTTTATGATTATTCGTAATTAATTTCTTTTATTAGGGCGAGGCCACTCAGGCCAGCCTTATCAAGAATATGGAGTTCTTTTCAATTTACCTATGATATTATGTGTGTATGTTTTGAATTATTAATCATCGTGTTTAAACTATCTAAGTATCTTAGTGATCTACGACCATTAGGATGTTTAGAAAAGTAATGTAATGCAATTTTGGTTAGAAGGTTCCTTAAAATTGGTGCTGGCTTCTTGTGGTTAATTATTGTAACTTCACTTAAGATGAACACCACATCTTAAGGGTTGCATAGTTTTTCAAAGAGTTTTCATAAAACATAATGAGTCTTTCATGTTCATATTCGATTCGAACGTCCAGACTGGTTGCATGTTTGATATACGTTATAGGTTGGAGATTCCAAGTAGGACATAAATTAGGAAAACTTAACCTTCAAAATATGCATGGGTAATTCATAAGTAATTGGAAGAACTACATATGACTGTTAAAGTGATGGTGGAACCTAGTGGTTTTGCAAATTGATTTTCAAAATCGTTTTATTTTAGTTTATTTTAGCTTTGCCGACTTCTTTAATATTTTTAATTAAATTCGTTTTTAATATTTTAAGTCACAAAATCAACCTTTTTAAAAAAAAAAAAATTCAAGTACTTAATTAAGATTTGATTTTACATAAGTTATTCATTAAATCTTTGTGGAAAATAACCTTAATTAAGTCGTTTATACTATAATTACCTTATTCTCTTGCAAGTATTATTAAGTGTTTTTATCCATACTTTTGTAGGTGGTAAAAATCATATCACTCATCCCCTAATTTCGATTCTTGATCATATATATACACTTAACAAATAAAATAATTTAGTAATTAAGCTCTAAAGTTTATTATGGTTATATGACCACATCATTTGTAAACACATCCTACAAAATCATAATACTTTTTATATTTTTAAGTTTTGTTTTTGCCAATTTCATATTGATCCAAGAACTTTAGGTTACTGCATTACTTTCACATATGATATTGACAGTGTGCTTTAAAATATACTTCGGTAATGATGTGACATGTGCATTTCAAAAATTCTAGCGAAACACAAATTTCATGAAAAGTCATGACAGTCGTGCGTGGCTTGTTGATATAACTTTGATCTTCACATGTCCAAATGTAGGTTATATTATCAAAAGTAGCATCAGTCGATTGTTAATTCGTTACTTTGGAATCATATCATCGATTGTTTTGGTCTAGAGTAGGATTTGATCATCCAAGTGCACTTAGAGTTTGGATGCAACTTTAATTTGTATTTTTATGTGTAGGGTAGTTGGGGTTGAAAGTAGTGTAGTACACACTTTTTAAGTAATCACTTTTTGAATCAGACAGTCATCTATATCACATTTTTTTATATTTCAAGAGCTAAAGTCTAAAATTAAAATTGAAATTTCAATTGTATTGGCGACGGGCATGGATAGTTTTGCGTTGATCAGATGTAATATGCTTTTCGCTTGAAAATCTATCAAGCACCACCATATAGCGATTTTGCAAGTAATCGGGGACTGCCTGTTCACTCATTGCCAAAAGTGTCGCAAAAATCCTGAAATTCAACACTGCTTCGATTCTCTTCACTGTTTGTCAGAATACAATCACGTGGCTCGCAAGAACCGTTCCATCCACTCGGTGACAACATCAATTTTTGCACAATAAGTTGGAACCTAGCTTGGCTGTATGGTACAACACTTTCAACACTAAATTGTTTTCACCCTCTCTTTATTTTATTTTATTTTTTTTTATAGGAAAACTAATGAAAAAAACTTAAAAACTTTGAGTTTTAACGAAAATGACAAAAATATGTTGTAAGTGAATAGTACCATGATTGACTTTTAAAAGTAAAAATGTGATTTTTGTTAAAATGAACAGTACCATAAATGTTTCGTTAAAACTTCTTTTTTTTTTTTTTTTTGAAAAAATCATTCTAAAATGCTCTGATTTATGGAGAAGTAGATTCGAACTTGGGCGCAAGAGGATGAAGTGGGCACACTACCTTGATCAACTATTCTGCCCCAAATGCAAATATTTTGTATTACTAATAAGAAAAACTAACGAAAAGTATAAAAAAAACTTCTCTTTTAATGCAAAGCCCTTTTTAAAGATATAGTGAATAGTACCAAAGAAATGTATAAATGTGGTTTTTCGTTAAAAGTGAATAATACCGAAAGTGCTTTGTTAAACCTTCTCTACTAATATTGTACATTTTGTGTTGAATCAGGCGGGGCAGTAGTAGGGTCACTTCTATGGTGTTGATTCATGTATAGTCAAAAACAAAACAAACATCAAACGCATGCTTCATTATTTCGATGGCCTCAGAAAAACATAGATTTGTTCAAGTAAGGCATAAGGTTTCTACTTTATTGATACCAATGTGGTTGAAGAATCCGCCGGGGATTTTGGAGGAGAATATAAGTAAGGCTTGGGAGGTATCTGCAACGAATCAACACTCCCTTCTAACATATCGATCACTTCCTTCATCGCTGGCCGTTTTGAAGGATCAGTTTGTATGCACCACAAGCTCACTATGATCATCTTCCTTGCTCTTGCTTTGTCTTCCTCGTTTGCAACACTCTGCAGCCCAAGCTCTTCGTCCAGTTCAAGACGCTTGTAAATCCAATGCGGAAAATATATTTCACTTGTATTTTCAGCTTCAGCATCGATGTTCCTTCTTCCTCCAACCATCGCTGAAAGCATCATTCCGTAGCTGTACACATCTGACTTGTGTGAGACATTTCCAAAGTTTCTAGAAAATACTTCTGGAGCAATGTAACCTGTTGTACCTCTAGCGCCCAACATTGAGACAATGCTCTCTTTCCTGTTGCATATTTTGGCAAGGCCAAAATCCGAGATTTTCGGGGTGAAGTTTTCATCGAGAAGAATGTTGTGAGGTTTGATGTCGAAATGCAAAATTCTTGTGCTGCAACCACGATGTAGATACTCCAAGCCTTGAGCAACGCCAAGTGAAATTTGATCCAATGCTTCCCATCCCAAGTGATCATGACCTATATTGGGAGTATTTGAATCAAATATGAATTTCTCTAGAGATCCATTAGGCATGAATTCATAGATGAGAGCTCTTTTGGAACCCTCAAAACAAAAGCCTAACAAGGCGACGACGTTGACATGGGAAGTTCTACTAATGGCTGCCACTTCATTCATAAATTCTGCTCCGTCTCCTGTTAGTTTGGTCAAGACCTTCACTGCTACAAGACAGCCGTCCTTTAACTTTCCTTTGTAAACAGCACCGTAGCCTCCACGTCCTAATTTTTCTTTGAAGAAGTTGGTCATGTTCTTGACCTCCAAATAGCTATACCTTCGTACTTGAAGCGGCCCGTAGCTCCTTAGAAAGGCCTCTACAATTTGACGATTTTTGTTTTGCTTCTTCCAAAAGAAAAGAAATCTATATGATGACAACTTTCTTCTTAAGCAGCAGACGATAACGAATAGAAATATGAGACCAGCAACTGCACCTGCTGAAAATACGTTGAATATGGTGATTTATTCAATCGAATGGTAGGCACTGCAGACATGCTACATACCTTATTACAACCTATAAACTTAGAAAAACTAATCTAAGCAAGTTATAATTACCTATTGAGACTTTAGTGACTAAGTTTCCAGTTCCAGGTCCTGCACAATGATCATTATCTCATATCATAATCAAAAACCAAATTTAAAATTTTGGTTAGGACAACTAGATTAGTACAGAGTTACACACGCTAACAATAAGATTATGTGACGAAGAATATTTGAGAAAAAAAACTGACCTCCACCGTCTTCGTCACCACAGCTCACAGATCTAGTCCTATCGGGGCAGAGGCACCTAAAATGGCGGGTGGTGTAGTTAAACCCACATAGCCCTCCACTCCCCTGGCAGCGGCTGCAGTCAGGATCCAGCCATTTCATCTCAAACCCTCTTCCCAACACTTCCTTCATTCCCGCCGCCTCATCATTCCCATACCCTCCACCATACACCACCGCCACCTCACTCGATCCACACTTTTCAACCTCCACAAGACCTCCAAATTTCGGATATATCTGCCCAGGCAGAGCAAGAACCGAAGTGTTATTACAACCAATCTTGTACTTTGGAAAAGAATCGACAAACGAAGGGTTGCAGTTGTAGAGCAGAAAGAACTGATCTTGCTTTGGAGCCAGCTCAAACTGTTCATTAGGGATCGTTAAATTATGGATCAGTGAGAGATTAGCGCAGGAAGAGTTGTCCAAGTAGAGCGAAAGTAGAGCATTTGAGACGACAAGAGTCTGGCTTTCGTAAATGATGTTGTGAATTATGTAATCGTCTCCAGACAACCGGAGAAGTGGGTTGGCTTCTTCTTCGTTGTCGTCTGCGCCGCCCTGGCAGGAGAGCTGGAAGCCAGGGTAGCCGCAGAAGTCTTGGCCTTGGATGTAGAACGGGTAGCTGATCTTTAGGCGGCCACAAGTTGTGGGGACGCTGCAGTTTTGGTAGTAAAAGTTCACTGCAAATGCTGGGGTTTCTGCTGAGAGAAGGAAGATCAGAATGAAGGTGCAGAGGTTTTGATTCATCGTAAATTTTAGAGAGAGAGAGAGAGAGAGAGAGAGAGAGAGAGAGAGATGGGAGGGAATTACAGTACAGTAATAACGTTGAGACATTGGAAGGTGATTTAGCTTGACTTGATGATAACCGCTCACTGAAGTCTTTGGCTCATAAAACATATCGGGGATACACGGCAAAGACCAAAAATTGCATACTTTGTTGTAAAATCGATGTTGGAAACTTGTGTTATGTGGGACTGCCAGTCCCACATCGCCCAAACCCTTTTCATACTAAGTCTTTATAAGTGATTTCACTCACTTATAGTTTGAAATGAATTGAACCAAAGTCATGGACCTTAGGCCTTAGACTTGGAGAGTTTGGGTGTATATATTAAATGTCAAAGATGGGCCTTGGGCCTTGAGGCTCGGATGGATGAAAAACACGAGTTATGTTTTTGATTTTTTGGATTCAGTTTTTTCCGAAAGGATAAAACTGACTGAACAGTTACGTTCAGTTTTTTTTTAACAGTTGCATTCGGTTTTCTTTTTAAAAAACTGATAAGCATGAATGGTTGGATAAGTTGACATTATGCCATTATATATATGGCAATAAAATCAGAAACTACAATCAAGTTTTTCCAAATTCATTCCTTCATATTTCGCTGAGAACCACACAACCAATTCGCCAAGAATCCAAGTTCGAGTGCAAGAACTTGGATTAGATAGTTGTATCCTGCAAGATAGACGTCCATCGAACTGCTGCACTGGTGCAGGGACGAATTTCTGTCTTAGGAGATTGCTTCTGCAAGCCTCTATCGTCAAAGAACAAGTCAGTGATTTGTGATTTTATATATAATTACACTAAGTGTTTACGTTTTAATATATTGTATTTGTTGTTGAGTTTTACCATTCGAAATAAAACTGTGCAAATTATTGTATAATATATACTTATCATTTGATTGGTTATAACAATCGATGATGTGTGCAATTGAATAAAAGAAACAAGACACAAAATTTACGAGATTCCTCTACAGTCAGTGTGATTGGAGTACGTCCTCGGAGCAGCAATGATGCTTCTATTATAATTTAGAATAATAAGAGTACAAAATAACTCTCTCTCTATTATCCTCTCTCTTCTTCTTCTTTTTTCTCTCCTTTTTATACTTTTACAATCTCTTCCATGAACCTCTTCTTTATCTCTAATTCATTTTAGAATAGTAAAAATACTGTGCATAAATAATAACAAACTATTCATATGGGCCATCCACATATTATTCACAACACTACCCCTTGGATGGTCATAAGTCTTCGATTGACTCGTTAAAATCTTGATCTGTTTTGGATGCTCTACCTGATGACTATCTACCCCTGATTTCAAATCATTTAGGTTAATCGTTGATCATTCTGCTTCAGTCTCTTAGCAAGAAGAGTTGCCGAAAGAGGTGTTTTACTTGTTGTTAACTTACCACATGCTTGTTCTTGAACTAGGTTGGATGGTCTTCTGTTAGACTTCCTCAAAAGGTTTGAATTTACTACTTTTATCTGGAGCTGAATTTGATTCAAGGGTTGTGGACACTTGATCTTGAATCAGACTTGTGATTTCTTCAAGGGTCGTTTAGGCTTGATCTTGAATGAAATTGGACCGTGAGGAGCTTCATATGACAAGTGATCTTAGGCTTTGTCGAGGATGAACTGGCACGTGTTTTGTTGTGCTTGTCTCCATATGTTTCAATGTATCATTTTCACTTGCCTTATATGTTCCCCTTGCAGAAGTGGTATTTTCCCTATGCAGGTTTGGCGTCTTCTCTTGTAGTATTTGTCTATTGATGCAGGAGTGGAATGCAACCCTTGCATTTGGATGGTTCATCACTTCTTGGTAACTCATCCATGTGTGGCAGCTTTAGTGTAAATAGCCAACATCATATCAACAGTTGAAGATGAGTACTCGAGAGCAATACAAGGTAAGCAACCAGGCAAAGGTTCCGAGCAATTAGTTCCAAATCATAAGCTTGATTCCATGTGGCGACTGATTGCTCTCTTTCTCCTGATCTTGCAGGTGAGAACAAAGACAAAGGAAATGACAAGAAAATTGCATGATATAAAATACTCTTGCTCTTGTCCCTGATGATATGAGATAATCTTGCTCTGGTGTGACTGGTTTTGAAGAGGTATTCTCAGAGAGGAAGAAAACTGAGTATTTCGAGATGCTTTGTTGAAGATGCATTCTCGGAGATAAGGAAGAGTTCGGTATTCTTGCAAGTCTACCTTGTTATGGAGAACGAAGGTCAACATATATAGAGATTTTTCAATAGCAAGTAATGGTGATGTGCCTTTACTCTTGTTAGCAACTGTGGTGTAATTAGAACAATAAGATTTACGCATTTTCAACTTTGTCAAAGATCTTTGACAAAGTTGCACGCAATATCCGAAAAAGCTGAGATTGCGTCTGAAAAATGTTGACGAACTTTATCCTGAAAATCTGGCTTTTGAAATTCAAAGAGCGGTGCCTCTTCGGTCTTTGAACAAGTGGCTATGTTGTCTCTTCTTTTATAGAGACATCAATTGTGTTCAAAAGTATGCTCAGAAAGTTGCTGCCTGTAGAAATTTTCCATTTCTTGCACTTCTGAGATTTTATTTGACCTCTTTTTTCCTTCATCATTTCTGAAAATGGTTTGCCCATCTAACATTTGCTCAAATTTGAGTCTTATGAGTGATGCAAACGAGCAGGGTCAGGATAATATATGGCGTCCGTCCTTCTTATCTTATAATGGTCCTCTTACGGTTGGGAACTCTGTGATGAAGAATAACATAACAACTACTGTGGTAGCTAGGAATCTTCTCACTCTAAAAGATAACAGAACCCTTTCAAAACGGTCTGATGAGTCGGCCGTTCAAGACTCATTGGCTCTCAGTGTTCAATGTGCAGGCTTTGTATCCAATATGAGTCAACGCCTACTTGCTCGAACTCACCAAGTTGAATCATTGATGGTCAAGTTGGCAAGTCTTAAACAAGAGATCAGATGGCTCAAGCACGAGAATAGAGTGTTACACGTGCTTGCAAATAATTACTCGATGAGCATGAAAAGAGATCTCCACCAGCTACAGGAATCCGAAAGTCGGATTCAAAGTGATCACTAGGGGTTCATTGCTAGATTCCGAAGGCAACTAATGCATTCCCCTTTTGGTGTTTTGTCAAGTACTGGGGTGCCACATGATCAATCTCCAGTGCCTCCCCCTTCTGGGGTATTGCCGAGTACTGAGGCTTCACATGAGCAACCTTTGTGAAGGCTTCATCCTGTTTATTTGTTTTAACTCATGTGTATGCACATATCTGTAATTTCTTGGAGATATCAATATATAAGCTTTATCTCATTAAATGTATTGTGCCAAATACAATGAAGCATATACTTCACTAAGATGTGGTACTTCTGGATCAAATATCAATTTATCTTTACCCTCACGAAGATAAATGATCATTTTTAGTGTCTAAATCATTTGAGTATTCAACTCATAATTTTTAATCCATATGATTCTTTAATATCATAAACATCATGGATAAAATTCGTGATGGCATATTGTTCGATCTGCAGTTCGAGACAATATTTCTCTCAACACTTTATAATCTTTCTTGACTCTTCAGGAGTCCCAATTTAATATCATCAACTCTTCCAAGAGATTTTAGTACGTTGCAACTATATCATAATGAAAGTACTCACTAAGGCAATTTATACCATCCATTCATATTGAGTACATATTTTATGTTTTACCCTTCTGGGACTTACTTCAAGTAATTTGAATCCTTCAGGGATTTTCTACACTTCATGACATATTTTTCTTTGGAATTTGTACAGAGCAATTTGCTCCCATATATATTTGAGGGATTTACTTATGGAGATATGATGCGGGCGACTCCCTTGGTATATAATTCTCCATTTTTTTTTTTGAACTCGTTTACAAGAGTATAATTTCATGTTTCAATTAGTAACTTTGTGTAATATCATGTGAGTGTATTTCACTGTATTGCAAATGCCCAATTTAATCTCCTTGGTTCAACATCCTTTGGCTATTTGTATTGTATTCAAGTATATAGGTCCATTTTTCACATTCTTACAAAATTGTAATGAAATTGTCTTTCTCTAGTTTGGCCAATAATTTTGTTGACTTAAAAAAAACGAGACTCAAAATCAACACAGTTTACTGATGAATTTAGTAGCTATTTGTAAAAACCAAAATTACCATTGGTTATCATCAATCTGTGATCCAATATTCTTATGTGCATGCACATGCATAAAAACTTTTCATTTCTTTAGATATCCATTACCTCTTCAAGGGTATTACACTATCTCTTCCAGGATAGTCATAATTTTGAGAATGTGGATCATAACCTCCTCTTAAGCGTTATAGAGCTTGGATTTTAATCTCCACTTCGAGAGTTGAGTCATTGGAACCTATACGTCTATCATGTTTTATGCATGAGAACATCAACATTCTCATGTCCGCGGATTATCCTTTCTGGAACGTATATCCACGCAGCGACTGTCAAGCTTTTGGCATGCAACAGTTATGCTTCGGGAATGCAATAGTTTAATAGTACCATATTCTTTTTCTTTTGAAGGACTGAACCTTTTGAGTTTGAGTGTCTGCCACGCTTTAGGCGTGCAATAGAGAAATCGTTTACTGCCTCATTATATTGTCCAACAAGGACATCAATTCTTGTAGGCATATTTGCAGCAAGCATATGGGATTTCATCACTTTCGTTGTATCATTCAATTATTCTTACTTCATTTTCTCATTGATCGCTTCGTGAATCAAAATAAGACAAATTCTCTTTGTTCTTCTGCAATGGTCTTTTCTCATTATTCTTCTGGATTGAAATTTTCTCATCGTTCTTCTGGAACGAAGTTATTTTCTCTCCTAACGACGGGAAAATTGTCTTATCAAAATGATAATCCGCAAACCACAGGGTAAATATATCCTCAGTCAAAGGTTCCAAATATTGAATGATAGATGGTGTTCAACGTCAATGCCCCATTCACAATGATGCCTCATTTCAGTACGTTGTGGCAGTGCAATAGATACATATATAACACAACCAAAAACTCGTAAATGTGTAATGTTTGGCTGGTGTCCAAACACGAGTTGTACTGAGAAATAT